AGAATCTCTTCCCACAGTCTGAGCATTCAAAAGGCTTCTCTCCTGTGTGGGTTCTCAAATGTATATGAAGACCGTTATTATGGCCCCGGTCACACGGGCCGGATATCGCGGGGGGGGAGGCGTGGCTAATTGCCCCGGAGGAAACTAACGCGCGGCTGCCCGAGCACACGTCCTGGTCGAGGTCCCGTGGTTTGGGGGAAATGCTGATCAGACGGGTATCCTGCAGCGTGGCACAGAAGCCGCGCCGTGCAATCGCACTAGCAATCGCCCTTTGTGCGCATGCGCTGTTGGGCGCTGTTGCGCAACCTGCGGAGACAAACAGCGGCAGGCATCGGATGCCACACAAGTCCACCGGGAACGCGATCAGATGCCCACCCTTGGCCCGTGATTTCAGGAAACTAGTACCTCGTAGGTACTAGTTTTTAACTCAACACCTTCGGCGGGGAGCCACGGGTTCGCCACAGGAGCACTGCGCTTCACTTCCCAGATGTTGGGGTGAGATTGCGCCTGGAAAATCCACGGGACTCCCGTGCCTCTCTCGTGGCAACTTTGCCGTGTGACCGGGGCCTCTGACTGTATCTTTTCCCACACTCTGAGCATTCAAAAGGCTGCTCCCCTGTGTGGGTTCTAGATTGCTTTGAAGATGGCCCCTGTGACTGAATCTCTTACCACACTCTGAGCACTCAAAAGGCTTCTCCCCTGTTCTTAGATGCTGTTGAAGAGTACCATTCCGACTGAATTTCTTCCCACACTCTGAGTTCACAAAAGGCTTCTCCCCTGTGTGGGTTCTCAGATGTTCTTGAAGACTGGTATTCCAACTGAATCTCTTCCCACAGTTTGAGCACTCAAAAGGCTTCTCTCCTGTGTGGGTTCTTATATGTTTTTGAATATGGCCACACAAGGAGGTCTTATCTGCACCTGAAGTTCCAGCCACACCCCAAATATTTCTGTGGCTTCTTCCTGCTGTACACTGAAGTGGGCAATCAAATACAGTTTCAAAGTACATTAAGCCTCCTGCATCAGAGAGGCTTGGTTTGGACTATGACCATTTCTACGGCTCCCCACCTGTGTGACTTCTTTTAATGTGAAGTAAGGGCTCTTATCCAAATGAAGCTCTTTCCGCACTCCAAGGAATTCTACCGTTTCTCTCCTAAGGGGATTTGCATCCACAAAATGTCATTTATTCTATGGGTCACACTTCCATTTTTGTTTTCCCTAGAGTAGATTCTCTGGTTATGATGGAGGCCTTTATTCCTTCTTATTTTGATAGATTTTTCCTCTTGGACTGATATTTCACGGACACCCCCTCCTTGGCAAGGAATGGGCTTGTC